ACTGAAGTTTCACCATTTCATCTGCTGAGAACAGGACTCTGACTTAGGGCAAGTCTATGTTAGTGCATGACTGAGCTCTAAGGGTATGTCTAGACTGCATCCCTCTGTTGGCAGAGGGATGCAGATTAGGCAGTTCAACATTGCAAATGAGGCACAGATTTAAATATCCTGCACCTAATTTGCATAAAAATGGCCACCACGTTTTGCCGACTCGGCACTTTGTTGGCAAAAAGCGGCTGTCTAGAGGGGGATCTGTGGAGAAAGAAAGCCTTTTTCGACAGATCCCTTATGCCTTCTGGAAGGAGGTTTACAGGATCTGTCAAAAAAGGCTTTCTTTCTTGACAGATCCCCTTCTAGACTGCTGCTTTTTGCTGACAAAGTGCTGAGTCGGCAAAAATGGTGGCAATTTTTATGCAAATTAAGCACGGGATATTTAAATCCCCACTTCATTTGCAATGTCGACCTGCCTAATCTGCATCCCTCTGTCGACAGAGGGATGCAGTCTAGAGATACCCTAACTTTCTGGCTCAGTGGTGTAAAAAAGCATCCCTTCCCCTGAGTGCAGCAAGTTACAGCACTGTGAACTGGACTCCAGCACTGGGAGCTGCATTCCCAGCACTCTTCGCTACTCCCTTTGTGGAGGTGATTTACACAAAGTGCTTTGAGAGCTCTTTCCTAGCACGCCTGCCATAGCCACTCTTTCACTTAAAATGCTGCTGCGGGGCACTGCGACAGCTGTGCTTTCATTTTAGAAGAGTAGACAAAGCCTCAGATAAGAAGAAACTTGCAGTGGAAGGATTTTTCCATGGTGCTGTAGTTCCCAGTGTCATCATTTTGCTACTTTTTCTCTTGGGGTGTGTCTAGACTACATGCCTCCTTCGACGGAGGCATGTAGATTAGCCAGATTGGAAGAGGGAAATGAAGCCGCGATTAAAATAATCGCGGCTTGCCGCGATTAAAATAATCGCAGCTTCATTTAAATTTAAATGGCTGCCCCGCTCTGCCGATCAGCTGTTTGTCGGCAGATCGGGGGAGTCTGGACGCGATGCCCCGACAAAGAAGCCTTTCTTCATCGACACAGGTAAGCCTCGTGAAACCAGGTTTACCTGTGTCGATGAAGAAAGGCTTCTTTGTCGGGGCATCGCGTCCAGACTCCCCCGATCTGCCGACAAACAGCTGATCGGCAGATCGGGGCAGCCATTTAAATTTAAATGAAGCCGCGATTATTTTAATCGCGGCTTCATTTCCCTCTGCCGATCTGTCTAATCTACATGCCTCCGTCGACGGAGGCATGTAGTCTAGACACACCCTTGGTGAGTAGTACCATGTGCTGTGTTTTATTTGTGTATTGAAAATCTTGGGATAAAACCCAGTTCAGCATGAACAAAGGAGGCAGAAATTGGGTCTTACTCTAATATGCCCATCATGCTCTGTCTGGATGCAGGTTCATAAATGAATAACTGTCAATGCTAGTTAGAGAGGACTTTTCCCAACTAAAGCTGTGATGAAAATCTTCCTACGTTTGGTAATCAAGAATGGTAAATTAGTATTCCCATGGAATCAATCTGCGTGATCAGTTTACAAGGAGACCAAGTGAAGATTAATTACTTACTTAGCTTCTCAATTAACTGTGTTTTGGTGTGAAAAGAGCTAAATTCCAAGCATAGTTTTTATCATTTTGAAATGTTCACATTAGAAAACAATGAATAATTCCTGCATAAACTGACATTCTTTTATAGGGTTTCCTCAGACCTTATCATGTTGCCTTAGTAACACATCTTTGGTCCCCATGACATTCAACCTTCGCATTCCTGGAGATGGACCTGGGGATCCAAGTGTTACCAGTTTTGTTCAGATCCTGGACATCACAAGAACATCGTGGAGAAACAGAGCCCAGGGAAATGACAAGCCAAAAGAATTTACCATAACACCCTGTAGTGGTACCATCCGCTCGCAAGGACTCCTGGATATTCAGGTACAGTGTATGTCAAACTACAGTTGAACAGGACAGGCTGATGGTTTTCAGAGCTAAAACAAGGCTTCTGTCATTGTTGGGTTGATTGTAATGTCAGTCATCCAAGAGCTTTTCATAACCCCTGTTGTGGGAGCACTCAAAGTGGTGCAGTTTGGCTTCTGAAACTGCAAGGTCCAGATTATGAATTTCAATCTCAGTAGCCACATATTAATGAGTTTCCAGATGTGGGTTTAGAGAACTTCTTAGAGCCATTGAACTCTGAGAGGAAGAAGAATTAGGATGGAAAATAGTAGTTAAAAAGTAATTTCTGTTTTGTTTTGTTAGGATTTGTCCTGCTTTGGGCAGGGGTTTGGACTTGATGACCTCCTTGAGGTCTCTTCCAACCCTATGATTCTTTATCACCAAAAATAGTTCACAGTCTTTCTCCTCACATTTGCTCTCCCACTAAGTCTCATTACATGCTGTAATCTCCGGGAGAAGGGACATTGAAAGTTAGGGTACCCATTAATGATCCCAGCAGCTTTGGGGCCAGATTTTGTTGTCAGTTATCCATTGTAAATTTAGAATAGCCCTATTCAAGTAGACTTCCTCTGGATTTACACTTGTGTAACTGAGAGCTAAATTTGGTGCCTTGATTTTAAAACCACAATGAATGTATTTAATTTACATGTATTCAGGAGACCTGGGTTAAAGGGAATCTTTTAAATCTTGCTACGAGGCTAAAGCAGCTAGAAGCATCATAAAAATGACTGTTTCCATTTGTGTAACTGATATTTAGTCATGTAACACTGAAAACCAAAGTTCTACCTCATTCTAGAGACAATGTGTAGTGTTTGGCTTGCATTTCAACTCATAGCCAAAATGTAGTACAATTATCTTTCATATTTAGCTACAGTTAAAAAACGATATATTGGATGGATTGCTACCATATCTGTAACATTAGCTTAAAAATCAAGGTATTTTTATCAGAAGGAGGTATCAAGCAAAGACGAACTCTGGCACAGCGATTTCCTCTTGTGTATGGATCCTGGTATGGGTTACGAAGCAGAATCCTATTTATGCTTTAGCATGGATGTTTGGAGAAGATAATCCTGTGCGGTTCCTTGATTCTTAACTTGGTTATACAAATAGCCTAAGTATTCACTTGGGCAAATTCAGCCTTGGTAAATGAACGCATTCAGGTCGGTGGGGTTGCACCTGGTGGTATTAAACTTGTATTTGGCCTGGTATCTCAATTCAGAGTTTGTCCAAATGTAACTTTGCCTCAAGGGGCCACCTGCTGTAAGTGAACCTAGAGATGAAGCTTTAGGCCAAAGTCATTGCGTTAAGCATTAGACTCACTGTCAAGGCTGTTCTCCACTCTGGCACTCTGAGTGCAGAAGGTGGGAATCTTCAAGAGACCTTAAAAATACCTTTCCTCTATAGGCTTCTGCTTAAAAACTTCCAAGATCACAGAATTTCTGGCCTTGGGAGATAGGCTGCCACCACCAAGTGAAAAACCCCTTTCTTCTTGAATCCAGGCAGAAGCACTAGGAACTTCTTCCAGGAGGATACCTCAAGCGCTTCTAAAACAAGAAAGCTTGAATAAAAAGAGAAAACAAATTGTAATCTCTGATAGCTGACCTCTCAGTCTTAGGCATGCATACGCAGACCTCCTATTACCTACTAGGACACAAGAATCAAATCACCACTTTTAAAAAGATGACTGTATTAAAAAAAAAGTTATACTTGATAAAGCATACTTGGTTGCTAGATGTTTTAAAGCAACTGAGAAAAGAACAATTTAGAAACACAGAGAAAAATTCCATCCCTGGGATACAGCTTAAGGTACAATGTGTGTGTGTGGGGGGGGTTAGCACAGAGAAGTTTAACCAAACAACATAACACAGAAAATAACCGGATCACTTCTGAATAGGCATTTCACTATCTACATACAATCCATGCTTCAAGGTCCAGTCCATTTCCATGCCCAGTATTCTTTGGAGGCATGGTAGTTCTGCCTGGTTCAATTCATCTTGTTCCCCCAACTCCTGGTTTAAAACTCCCACAAAGAAAAACAGCAGACAGGTATATCTTCCCATTCAAATCTCAACAGCTTCTCCCATTGGCTGTCCTGGGTCCCTGCCAACACCCTTTAGCTACCTGAGTTTAACCCTTTAGTCAGTGAATGCTGGGATGTTCAGAAAGAGCCATCACACACCCACCAAGGGAAGAGGGGGAAAGGTCCTGAGCTGTGCTCTTTGGGAGGGCATAATGCTCCTAGAGGATGGGAGATGCAGACTTCAGCACACTTGATTTTTAATTCATACCCCTTGCAGTGCATGGGACTGGTCACATCCCTGAGCCAGCAGACCATGGGCCATTGTGACATGGAACATATACAGCTGTCATAGCCATTCCACAGCTCTAGCTAGCATGGCTGCTGTGTGGGAGCGGACATTAGTCCTCCACCTACATAGGACAGGACAGGTTATGTTTTTGGCCTTTTGGGTTTGTTATTGTGCTATCTAATGTAAGAAATTAACAAATATAGGTGTCTTCACAGTTACATTTTCTATTTTGCAATATGTCCGAACTCTTTGGGAATTTTAACTTCTCATTCAACTGTGAACTCATCTCCAGATAGACCAAAGCAGAGACACACTCCTTTTTACAGAGTAGTGGCTAAAATAAATCAGAGAAAACAAGCAACAGTGTCATCTCTGATGCACACACAAGTATGGAAGGATTCTAGATGATGGTGTGTTTGCTAAAACACAAAGGTGGCCAGGGCGACTCTTGGCTCCTTTTCATTCTCAGTGACAACAAATTTAGAAAGACCATCCCTACAGACGCCTTTGAGTGCTCAGTACCAAGCTGTAGAGCTTGTTGAACTGCTGCTTTCTAAGCCATCATGGACATCCATTATCATTTAAAGTTATCTTCCTTCGGGAAATGAAAAATTATTTGCATTGGTGAAGTCACCATTTCCCCATTTTTCCATTCTGTGGATCCCTTTGTATTATTAATAATAATAAAAAAGATCCTGGAGTCCATCTCTGGTCCTAGATTTCCTAATCCCTTATAGTTTTTTCTTAAAATGTTTCCTTAATGATCCACCAGAAAATGGTTCCTGGACCAGTGGTGGTTCAAAGATCCTCATCTGAGACCTATTGAACAGTGCAACCTTACTCAACAGAGACCTTGTCCAGCAAATGATCTCCAAGTTCCAGAAGTCCTACAAAAGGGAAGAAGTTGCTGAATGAGCACCCCATCTGAGAGAACGCTTTTGAAAATAAATATTTGTTCTCCTTTTCCTGCTCTAGGTGACCTTCTGTTCCAACACTGTGAAGAAATATGAACTGGCATTGGTGGTGGATGTGGCTGGTATTGGAGAGGAAGTACTGGCACTTCTAATCACAGCAAGGTATTGATACACCCTTGCAAGCATTCCTCCCTTGTCCCTGATTGCCATTCATTTCACCCTGAGTACTGTACTTAACACAGGTTTTGACAAAAGCAGTGTACAGCTGCTCCCCGAGTTGCGAATGGTTAAGTTACGACCATTCACGCTTACGACCAAAGCTCCCATGGAGCGGTCATAAAGGCGGTCCCCGAGTTATGAACGCGACCTGCGCTTACAAACAGCGCAGTTGCGTGTAACTCAGTGGGGTCTGAGTTACGAATGGATCGAGTTATGGCCAAGTGTTTGGTTCGTAACTCGGAGAGAGGCTGTATTCACTTCCTGCAATGAAAAATCTGTTTGGCATGAAGACATCTGAGGCATAGATGTCAGCACAATTGGGGGGAAGGGGGAGAGCTAATTTCAGACAATTAGCACGTTGATTAATAGTGAAGAGTTTAAGACCAAATGAATTATAGCTAGAACTAAACAAAAGACAGCAATGAAGGAGTATTATTCTTTGCTGTATAGATTGAACTCAGCTTCATCTGCTTTCCTCTAGTTTAAGTTATTCGCCATCACAAATTTGAGCCATGGAACATTTTTCCTGGGTCAGATAGTGTAGGACTTTAACTTGTTTGACTTCAGTGCAGTTACATTTGGCCCTGCATGTATAATTGTGTATATATATAGATTGAGGGCAGTTTTAAAAGACCTTGATACTGGCTTAGTACTACTCCCTTTGAAGTCACTATGAACTTTAGGGACTGCAGCCAAGGGACTTGGGCTAAGGGGGTGGGGGATGGAGTCCCCTCAGCCTGGGACTTATGGGTTGCAGCCCCTAAAAACCCTGTGTTCTGGGCTAGCCCTTCCTTGCGTGGGGAGGCGGGGGAGCTGCATTTGCCTGGAGGCTCCACCCTCACTACTCCCATTGGCTGAGAATTCTGTCCAATGGGAGCTACAGGGGATGGTGCCTGCAGGCCTGGAGTCACCTGTTCCTTCCCACCACCAAAGGGGAGCTAGAGATGTGCCAGGTAAGTGCCCTGAACCCCAACCCCCTGTTCCAGCGCTGAGTCCCCTCCCACACCCTAACTCCCTTCCAGACTCCTCACCCATAGCTCCTGCACTCCAGACCCCTTGGCCTCAGCTTGGAGCCTTCACCCTTCTGAGGCACCCCAAATGCCTCATTGCCAGCCCTATCCTAGGGACCACACCCCTTGTTAGAGCCCTCACCTTTCCAGCACCCACCTTCCTGCCCAAACCCACAGCCCCTTCCTGCACACTGAACCTCTCATTGTGGCCCTACACCAGAGCCTAGGGAGCCCCACAAAATCTGATAGTCCTGGGCCCGTATAAGAGTTAATTCACATGAACACAGATTTGGCAGAAGGCTTTAGCTGCACATTCCTTCCATGCTGAAAACACAGAAAATACAAACCAACCAGTACAAATCATCCAGGCTAAGATAGCTCAGGATGCCAGCTGGATCCCACTCTGAGAAATTGTGCCCTGTTTGACTGCTTGCCAGGATTAACAGAGCACTGTGGAGTAAAAACCCAGAGCAGGTTCTCCATGTATCCTTAACCAGTGGTTGTTGATTAAGAAGTGAATAAAAAGAATGTTAAGATGATTAATGACTGCATGGGTAAACAGCCTCTTTGTGACAATGACAAATATGTTACGCTCCATTTCATCATAATCTGGGAATAAACACATACTATATTTTCTTGGTGTTTTGGGGGGCTAGGTGTGTTGTTCCTCCTCTGCGTGTGGTTAATCCTGTGGTGACGTTTGGACGGTGTTTCCTGAAGTTCCCATACCAGCAGATGGTGATGCTAATGAATGACACTGAGCTTCCAGGATGCTATGGAGTTCTCCCTCAGGTTTGTCATCTCATCCTCCCTTTCTGCTGCTTTTCACCCATTTCTATGGGGCTCTCTGCGAATAGAAGGGTTTTCCCAGCTCTGATACTGTGGGGGTGGTGTTTCTAGCCTCCCTTGCTCTGGATATGAGAATGTTTAAGTTCTCTTCTTTGGAACTCGCTTGCAGGTGAGCACTTACAAAGTTCTTAAAGGGGAGGGTCCCACAGCACCGAGAGCAGGAGTGATTCACACAATACACTATAAACAGCAAGGGTCTCTTTCTGAGAGAGGCTGTAGTTCACAAGAGGAACCCGAAGAAAGCCATTGACTGATCCATGGCTGGTGTCTGTATGGCATGCCCTGACATTTCATGGTGTAACCCATTTTACAAGAGGAAGGGGGAACAATTCAAAGCCTTCTGTGAGCTCTGTTGATGACTCAGCAGTAAGATGGGTTGAAGAGGTGCAGCTGCTGATCTGGTGGTGGTATAGTTACGCATTGGGCATTCATTGGTTAGAAAGTGGGGGGTCGGTGTTAACTTGCACTGGTCCACAAGATTGTCAAAGTAAGCAGACTATGCAAGCCAGGGTTCCATTTCACTGCTGGCGAAAGTCAGGCTGCAGTCTGGCAACAGAAAGGTAACTGGCATGTGGGCATTTCGGCCTCACAAATCCATATGCCACAGGAGGACTGGAGCCAGCCAAGGAAGAGCTGGGGCGAGAGTGCCTGGAAGGTACACTGACTCAGCATATATTCCTGGGCGCTCCATTGGTGAGCCCCACAGAGAGCCCCAGATGGAACTGCTGCCTTGGTCCTAAGGTGAAAATCTCTGGGAGACATCTCTCCTGAGAGCAGCGGAACCCGGAAGGAGCTGAAGGGGAGAGTTGCTTTTCTTGCTGTCTCACATGTACATGCCAGTAAAAGTACCCCCCATTGTATGTGATTTGATATTCTCTGTTGCTTGAAATACCCTCACACAATTGAAAATGATGTCTTTCCCTCCTCTTTCAGCTATATCCATCGGGCAGACATAGACACTATTCCATATTTGGGGGCACCAGCCAACACAGCCACTGTTTTCTCTCATTGCTTTGAGTAACTAAGGAAGCCTAAAGATGCTTGGAACAGGCACTCCTGGCATTCAATCTCTGGCTGGCTTGGTTGCCTTTAGGTGATGCCTTGAGCAAGTAAATGACTGTACTATGTCCTGGAAAGGCCTAGGCAGCTGAAGGTCAGAAGGGCCTATTGTAACCCAGGCAAGATAATCACGTCCAGTAATTCCTGACTCATACCTATGATTTCTGTAGAGCCAAGAGCAGGTCCCTTAGAATCACAGAATCATAGAATACTAGGACTGGAGGGGACCTCGAGAGGTCATCGAGTCCAGTCCCCTGCCCTCATAGCAGGACCAAATCTCTCCAGAGATGGGGATTCCACAATCTCCTTGGGCAATTTATTCCAGTGTTTAACCACCCAGACAGTTAGGAACTTTTTCCTAATGTCCAACCTAAACCTCCCTTGCTGCAGTTTAAGCCCATTGCTTCATGTTCTATCCTCAGAGGCCAAGATGAACACGTTTTCTCCCTCCTCCTTATGACACCTTTTTAGATACCTGAAAACTGCTATCATGTCCCCTCTCAATCGTCTCTTTTCCAAACTAAACAAACCCAATTCCTGCAGCCCTCCTCTATAGCTCATGTTCTCTAGACCTTTAATCATTCTTGTTGCTCTTCTCTGGACCCCCTCCAATTTCTCCACATCTTTCTTGAAATGTGGTGCCCAGCACCAGACACAAGACTCCAACTGAGGCCTAATCAGCGCAGAGTAGAACAGAAGAATGGCTTCTCGTGTCTTGCTCACAACACCCCTGTTAATGCAGCCCAGAATCATGTTTGCTTTTTTTGCAACAGCATCACAATGATGACTCATATTCAGCTTGTGGTCCACTCTAACCCCTAGATCCCTTTCTGCCGTACTCCTTCCTAGACAGTCGCTTCCTATTCCGTATGTGTGAAACTGATTTGTTCCTTTCTATGTGGAGCACTTTACATTTGTCTTTATTAAACTTCATCCTGTTTACCTCAGACCATTTCTCCAATTTGTCCAGATCATTTTGAATTATGACCCTCTCCTCCAAAGCAGTTGCAACCCCTCCCAGTTTGGTATCATCTACAAATTTAATAAGTGTACTCTCTATGCCGATATCTAAATCGTTGATGAATATATTGAACAGAGCCGGTCCCAAAACAGACCCCTGCGGAACCCTACTTGTTATACCATTCCAGGAGAATTGTGAATCATTAATAACTACTCTCTGAGATCGGTTATCCAGCCAGTTATGTACCCACCTTATAGTAGCCCCGTCTAAGTTGTATTTGCCTAGTTTATTGATAAGAATATCATGCGAGACCAAATCAGATGCCTTACTAAAGTCTAGGTATACCACATCCACTGCTTCTCCCTTATCCATATGACTTGTTATCCTATTAAAGAACTCTATCAGAGTGGTTTGACATGATTTGTTCTTTATAAATCCATGCTGGCTGTTCCCTATCACCTTGCCACCTTCCAAGTGTTTGCAGATGATTTCTTTAATTACTTGCTCCATTATCTTCCCTGGCACAGAAGTTAAACTAACTGGTCTGTAGTTTCCTGGGCTGTTCTAATTTCCCTTTTTATAAATGGGCACTATATTTGCCCTTTCCAGTCTTCTGGAATCTCTCCTGTCTCCCATGATTTTCCAGAGATGATAGCTAGAGGCTCAGATACCACCTCTATCAGCTCCTTGAGTATTCTAGGATGCATTTCATCAGGCCCTGGTGACTTGCAGGCATCTAACTTTTCTAGGTGATTTTTAACTTTTCTTTTTTTATTTTATCTTCTAAACCTATCCCCTTCCCACTAGCATACACTGTTAGGCATTCCTTGACTTCTCAGTGAAGACCGAAAAAAAGAAGTCATTAAGCATCTCTGCTATTTCCAAATTTCCTGTTGTTGTTTCTCCCTCCTCACTGACCAGTGGGTCTACCTACCCTGTCCTTGGTCTTCCTCTTGCTTCTAATGTATTTATAAAAAGTCGTCTTGTTTCCCTTTATGCCTGTAGTTAGTTTGAGCTCATTTTGTGCCTTTGCCTTTTTAATCTTGCCCCTGCATTCCTGTGTTGTTTGCCTATCTTCATTCTTTGTAATTCGTCCTACTTTCCATTCTTTATAGGAGTCCTTTTTTATTTTTAGATCATGCAAGATCTCGTGGTTAAGCCAAGGAGGTCTTTTGCCATATTTTCTATCTTTCCTATGCAGCGGAATAGCTTGCTTTTGGGCCCTTAACAATGTCCCTTTGAAAAACTGCCAACTCTCCTCAGTTGTTTTTCCCCTCAGTCTTGATTCCCATGGGACCTTACCTATCAGCTTTCTGAGCTTACCAAAATCCGACTTCCTGAAATCCATTGTCTCTATTTTGCTGTTCTCCCTTCTACCCTTTCTTAGAATTGTTAACTCTGTGGCTGTGTCTACGTTGTCACGATCTTGCACAAAAGTGGTCTGTCTCTACTGGCCGCGAGTTCTTGCGCAAGAACACTGGCGTTCTAATGTGTGAAATCAGTGCTTCATGCACAAGAACTATGACGCTCCCGCTCAGGAATAAGCCCTCTTGCGCAACTGTTCTTGCACAAGAGGCCAGCATAGACAGGCAACATGAATTACTTGCATAAGAAAGCCCTATGGTTAAAATGGCCATAAGAGCTTTCTTGCGCAAGAGAGCATCTACACTGGCATGGATGCTCTTGCGCAAAAGCACATGCCAGTGTAGATGCTCTCTTCTGGAAGAGTTTTTGCACAAGAACTTTTTGCACGCAAAAGAGTTCTTACGCAAGATCATGCCAGTGCAGATATAGCCTATGATTTCATGATCACTTTCTCCCAAGCTGCCTTCCACTTTCAAATTCTCAACCACTTCCTCCCTATTTGTTAGGATCAAATCTAGTTCAGCTTCCCCCCGGTAGCTTTTTCAACCTTCTGAAATAAAAAGTTGTCTCCAATGCAGCCCAAGAACTTATTGGATAGTCTGTGCCCTGCTGTGTTATTTTCCCAACATATATCTGGATAGCTGAAGTCCCCCGTCACCACCAAATCTTGGGCTTTGGATGATTTTGTTAGTTGTTTTAAAAAAAGCCTCGTCCACTTCTTCCACCTGGGTAGGTGGCCTGTAGTAGACTCCTAGCATGACATCACCCTTCTATAGAAACATTCCAATCGTGTGTATTATCCCACCAAGTTTCTGTGATGCCAACAGTGTCATAATTGTACTTATTTATTAGCACTTCCAGTTCTTCCTGCTTGTTTCCCATACTTCTCGCATTTGTATATAGGCATCTAAGATACTGATTTGACCTTGCCTCACATTTTTGCCCTGACCCTCCTTTCTCTCTGCCATTATAGCCCATGCTCCCTCCCATTTCCGACCCATCTCCCAGATCTCCATGTTCTCCACTTACTCATGGGCTTTGCTCACCTGTCCTCATCGAACCTAGTTTAAAGCCCTCCTCACTACGTTAGCCAGTCTGTGTCCAAATAGGGTCTTCCCCCTCCTCGAAAGGTGAACGCCATCTCTGCCCTGCAGTCCTTCCTGGAATAGTATCTAAGCCAAAACCCTCCTTGCGACTCCATCTTCACAGCCAGGAATTCACCTCCAGGATGCACCTGTCTCTGCCTGGGCCCCTATCTTTGACAGGAAGGATCGAAGAGAATACCACCTGCGCTCCACACTCCTTCACCCGTACTCCCAGAGCCCTGTAGTCACTCTTGATGTGCTCAGTGTCACACCTTGCAGCATCATTTGTGCCCACATGGATGAGTAGCGTGGGGTAGTAGTCAGAGGGCGGATAATCCTCGACAATGCCTCTGTAACATCTCGGATACGGGCCCCCGGCAGACAGCACGTCCCGAGATGAAATGTTAGGGCGACAGATGGGCACCTCCATCCCCCTCAGAAGAGAGTCTCTGACCACCACTACCCTATGTTTCCTATTCCCAGTGGTGGCAGCAGACCTCCCAGCCTTGGGGGTACAAGGCTTCTCCTCCTCTGTTGTAGGGGGTGATTCCTTATCTCCTGTATAAAGAAGGGCATAATGGTTTCCTAGTACCACAGTGGGAGGGTTCGGAGCAGGGGTGGAGCACTGCCTGCTACCAGAAGTAACCAGCTGCCAGTGTCCACCCTGAGCCATCTCCTCCTCAACCAGTGGTGTGGCCGCAGTCCTGTGTACTGGGACAGCTACCTCAGCTGTCTCCTCATCAACACGATCCAGGAACTGCTCGTGGATTCGAGTGCTCCTCAACCTAGCCACCTCCTCCTAAAGCTCTCCCACCTGCTGCCAGAGAGATTCCACCAGCAGGCACCTTTCGCATTGGATGATCTCCCCAGTCTGGATATCAGTAAGTGGGACTTGCAAGCCACAGTCCCTGCAAAACTACACACGGATCTGGGTAGAGGCATCCATGCTCAGGTGCTCTGTCTGGCTACAGGCACAGGTGGAGGAGACAGGAGCAGAGCTGACACAGGTATTGCGGGTCTTCCTGACCATCATAGGCCTCCCTCTGTCAAACTCCCTCGTTGTCTCCCTGCTTCTGGCTTTTAAAGCCTACTTGCCCAAGCCAGGCCTGCCCCCTCGTGAATCACTCAGGGGAAGGCTGACCAGATGCAATCAAGAGAGCAATTGAGGGAACAAAGGGTCAGGCATTCAGTCCCAACCGCCACAGCAGCTGAAACTGAAACTGCAGTCACCTGAAAACAGAATCAGAATTCAACGAACAACAAACAAAATTCAAACAGTCGAGCAAACTCACTCACACCAAAAACGAGTACTCTCACTCTCCCCAGGTAGCCTGTTCAGTGGCGGGATCTCTTGCAGTCCCTCTCAAACTCCCCTGTCTGCAGCCCCCTGTCCACTTAGAAAGAGACCCAGTCTTGATTTAAAGACTGCAGGTGCTGGAGAATCCAGGGGTGAGCTGTTCCAATGGTTAATTACCCTCTGTGACGTAGTGGGGGTACCTTGCTAGGGCTGTGGTGACCTCTGCTGTCTGGTCATTATGCAAAGGGGGTTCCAAACCTGTCCGACCAGCTACCCCCCATGGGGAGAAACAAAGGAAGGTGGAATGACGCTCCTGGCTGGGGGGCAGGGCTGGAGGAGAGTTAGTTTCGTTTCTGTCTGGGAGCATGGAGGAAGCAGCCTCAGCAACAGGCTAGGGGGTTTAGAAGCCGAGACCCCCTCCCCCATATCAAGGGGGGCTGAGGCATCCTAGGCCTGCCCTGTAACCTGATGACATCTGTGCTGTGCTGTATACTGGAGAAGCAATAAACCACCTCTATTCTACTGGCTGGCGGAGTCTGTTCGTGCCATTTCGGGGGTGCAGGAGGCGGGGGATCCCAACATGCCATCACACCCTCCTTGTTAGAAAAGAGCTCCTTCAGCATGTTTTATCATCTACCTCTGAGTGAAATTCCACACTTGTCTGTGCATCGCTTCAATCCCACATCAGTCCTCGGCATAGGCCTTGTGGCAGCTCTTCCCCCTTTGAATCCAGCGCTCTGCACTTGTCTCTTTCAAACTATGCATTAATTGTATTTGTATAAATGTCAAGGAATGGAAAGTTTCCAAAGAAGACAATGTTCTGGTTATGTCTTGCCACAGGAGGACGAGGAGAAGCCCTCTGTGCTGTATTCCAGCCCCAGGCCTTGTGGCATTATTCAGCCTCATGACACGGTGGAGATCCCTTTAACACTGGCAGCCCAGATGACTGGACAGCAGGACACTGTGGCTTCCATAGCCATGTTTGGGAGTAAAGAATCACCCCTGGTGAGCCTCTGATGGCAGAATATGCCGTGTGTTTGAAACGGTGCTCTCTGGAGTGAGGGGTCCTGTGCTCTTTCGGTGGTGTACACAGCATGCTCAGATTCAGACGCTTTAGCTCTTTGCAGGGACTTTTCTGGTGAATTCAAAAGCTGCAAACTCAGGTCATGACAGTGTTAATTGTTACTGTGATACCCTCTCACTGACACTAGAAGTCAGACAATTTGAAGTTACTTGACCGTCTCATACCAGTAATGAGGAGGTAGGCATAGTTGGCGAGCTGTAACAGCCTGTGATACCCAGGCTCTGCCAGTGTTGGGGTCCTGCCCTTCCTGCAGGTGAGCAGTTCTGCTTGGGGTGTTCTCCCTTGCTTGCTCAGCCTGGCTGTAGAGCGCAGCCTTGGCAGCAGTCTGGCTGCTGTGTCTGCCTGCCAAGGGAGCAGGGGAGGGAGACACAGGGCATGCCCCCCTTCCTCACCTCCAGGGAGCCTTCCTGCCTGGGGCCTGGGTGAGTGTGTGTGGTGTGGGAGTGGGGGAAGAGAATAACCATGCCAGAATGGGCTGTCAGCATCGATGTGCATGAGCTAGGGTACTAAAGGATTGATGGAAGCTTAATCAGCCATTAACCAAAAGGAAGGCTGACGTTTTCAAAGCAGTCCAGAGGATGTGGGCTTTCCTTAAAGTGAAGGGAAGTGGTGCAGCTGACTCCCCTGGACGGCACTGAAAGTCTGAACTTAGGTCTACAGCCCTCTTCCTGGCATTGGAACATGTGGACTAATGGCTAGAGACTTGCTCAATGGAGGAAGGTGAGTTTTGCCATCCAGGCTGAAGTTAGCCAAAGAAGCGGTTTGTAAAGATAAGACACATTAACCAAAGGAAGGGTGGAGGCTTCTCCCAGATAGAATTTCCCAACCTTTTAGTGGCTGGTGTATTTTTCAGACAATGGTGAGCTTGTAAAGATTTTACCTTGGATTAATGGCATGTACTTTCAGCGTTAGCTTCTCTTTAATGGGGTGAATTAATATGTCAGACCCTATCCTCATGAGTGCTGTGAATTGTGGGATCTTAACAGTTTCTGAGGGAAAACTAATAGCACTTCAGTTAACTCATGTGTACCCGTTAAGCTGGAGTTTAATGCCCAGCATTTGGCTTTCTCTCAAATGCAGCAAACGTCTGAATTGTGCTGATAGACCGCTCGCCATGCATACACACAGTACACACTTGCATGTCTTGTGACTCAGACTGCCTCAGGTTTGAATTTTCTCCAAGCTCTGCCCTGCATCTTTAACCTAAGTTTTCCCCACTAGTGGACCATTGTGAGCAGTGTGCTAAGCACTCCACTGATGGTTGGTGTCAGATTTGTGGACCTTACCTTGCTCTCTCTTGCACTGATGCCACTCTGAGGTCAGTGGAGTCACTCTAAATGTAGTTCAGTGACACAGAAAGAAGAGCGTGGGGTAATAATGCCCAGCAGCTTGAATCTGCTCTTGCCCTTCTCAGGGTATGTCTACACTACCCCGCTAGTTCGAACTAGCGGGGTAATGTATGCATACCGAACTTGCTAATGAAGCCCGGGATTTGAATTTCCCGGGCTTCATTAGCACAAAGCCGGCGCCGCCATTTTTAAAAGCCGGCTAGTG